TACTCATAACATATTTTTCCAATTTAGTGCAAAATAAATGTTTTACAAAATATTTTTTTCTCTTTCGTCATCTAAACAAGGAGTGCAGTAATGAAAATGCAGTGAGTTAAGAGCTTCTTAACTCACTGACGTAGATAGAAAATAAAAAAAACTTCCTCAAAAAAAAGGTACTCTTCTCAATGTAAAAAGTAAAGAATAAATAACAATCGAAGATGTTACATACTTTCGTTGGTTAGGAAAATTTCTGTTCAATTAAAAAACTACCTAGAATGTTATTTCTGGACTTTTAGCCAGTGGTTTCTTATATAAAATAAATCCATCATACCATAATTTACACAAATGTGTGTTTTGGAAACTTTCCCAGAAGGATAGACCATAATAAATTCCCAATAATATATAAAAAAATTTGCACTGTGTAATAAGTTAGTGTTATTGATGTTAAACTATTTAAATATGTTTCTACCGGATGCGTCTCAAAAGTAGCTCACCCCTATAACTTTTCTATTTTTTCAGATAAGAAAACGAGATTTTGTATATTAGTATATGACATAAATTAGGATTGATTGACGTATTCAATTGTTTTTGGTCACTTCCTGTTTCACCGGAAATGACTACAACTTTTTATTTTTAAAAGGCACCCTCGGTATTTTTTTGCTTTATTCGATAGAGAATGACATTTTGAATAGAATGACACGTCATATGTCAACTTTTGACATTTTCGCTTAATAAAAAATCGTGTTTTATAATTCAATCTAGAGGTACTAATCCTTAATCAAGGAGCCTAGGAAAAATAGATCTGATCGTTTAATGCTTTTAATGTCTTGTCCTGGCCAGTTATAAAATGCCCAAATCGTATTTTTAATCATATCTCAATTTCTTCAAATGAAACGAGGGTGGCTCATTAGCATATTTGGAAAAAGCATTTTTTTACGAATAATTTGATACCACACACTTATTATATAGGTACAGGGCCGGCGGAAGGGCCGGGCGACCCGGGCGGCCGCGCAACGAAAATATTTAAAAACAGTTATCTAAACAAATAGTAACAAATATCCAGTTCAATAATTAATCGGTACTGTCAATTTCCACACTAACATATATTAGCTATTACCACACCACATAGGGAAGAATATCTGACTAAACATTATAAACACTATACTATATCCTAGATGTATCCTATTATAGTTTACTGAAATTATGCTCAAAAAATCGTTAGCACAAAAGCTTTGGGATAGTTTTGATTTCTTCTATTCTAATTATTCTATATATTTTTTGAGTGCTCTATCCGAAACTGGGATTTGCGAATTCATTTTCGTGGAAGAATATTAAACAAAAGTAAATAAAAAAATATAAATCCCATTTGTTCGTGGCATTTTACTTATAACTCAAAAGCTAACAACTTTTTGTAAGCAATCCTTCTTTCTATAATTCTCGTTTTTATAAATTTCTAAACAAACTGTTTTGGGTCAAGAGCCAGCAAAATTAACAGATTTAGCGACTGACCGCTCAAAATTGCACTTTTTCTACTTTCCACACCCTTTATTTGTTATTAATGGCTGATATGCCCTAAAATTATATGAGGCAAATATTCATTCGCAAGAAGCTGAAGAGGATCCCGATATCCTATCAAATTATCTATTATCAAAAAAAGCTTATAAGTTTGCCTCCTTAATTAAATTAATTTATTAAGAGCAGTGAGAAAGATATCAATCTTTTGGTGGTTTTGATTGTTCCGGATTGAATATGTAGTAGTAATACACTGGAAATGGTAGCAGAATCGTAGAATTTTCTCATTAGAGGAATCACACGAAGAAAAATTTCTCACAAAGAAATGCATCTCAAACACTGGCTGATCCTCATTTTGAAGCCGACAAAACTGTCTGATCATAATACTGATTCTGCACTAAATATGTAATTGTTTGTGAAAAAGAAAGAAAAATTGTCTTAAATTCTTAATAATAAAAAATAATGCAACTGCTTTCAATTTAATACTAATGTTTTCAAAGATCACTTATACCAGAACGAGACTGCGGAAGTTGGAATTCTATTTCTTATAGCTCTATATACCGGGTGTCTCCTCTATAATTTGTTTATTTTGTGGAAACGAGATTTGTATGTTGGTATAGTATACGACATAAATTAGGATTAATTGACGTATTCAATTGTTTTGGTCGCTTCCTGTTTAACCGGAAATTACTACAACTTTTGATTTTTAAATGGCACCCTCAGTATATTTCTATTTTACGCGATAGAAAATGACACTCTGAATAGGATGACATCATATATGTCAACTTTTGACCTTTTTGCATATGGTTTATTTGAAATTGTAACACATTGTAACATGCGGTTCATAACGCGAACAATTTGTAACAATTTGACTCGAAATACCAAGTGTGATGTGGTATCAAATTATTCGTAAAAGAATGCCTTTTCCAAATATGCTAATAAGCTACCCTTGTTCCATTTAAAAAAAATTGAGATATGGTTAAAAATACGATTTAAGCATGTTTACCGGCCGGGACGAAAAAAGACACGAAAAACATTAGACGATCAAATCTATTTTTCCAAGGCTCCTTATTTAAACTAATAAATTAGTGTTTTTAACACAGCCATGGCACTATAGATTAAAATTTAAAATACGATTTTTTTAAGCAAAAATGTCAAAAGTGATATATAATATGTCATTCTACTCAGAATATCATTTTCTTTTGGAATAAAGTAGAAATATACCGAGGGTGCATTTAAAAATCAAAAGTTTAAGTCATTTCCGGTCAAACAGGAAGTGACTCAAAACAATTATTGAATATACGTCAATCAAACCTAATATATGTCATATACTACCATTAAGAATAAAAAATACTAACATATCAAAACTCGTTTTTTATCTAAAAAAAATAAAAAAATTATAGGAATGAGTCACTTTCGCGACGCCCCGGTGTAGAAAAAACAACAATCGCAGACTAAGATTGAACAAAGAGAAGAATTTTGAAATATATCTTTAAGTGGAAATTTATTGTTAAAGTAGTATGAATATGCTTAGTTGTAGTTAAAGTATAGGACTGAAAGAAAAAGAAAGTTATAACTGTTAAGGGGGAGGGGGGGGCGCCAGAGGTGGTACTCGCCCGGTCTCAATATTTTCCTTCTGCCGGCCCTGTATAGGTATTTCGAGTCAAATTTTCGTAACGAACCGCAAGTTATAATTTGAAATAAACCATATGCGAAAATGTCAAAAGTTGACATATGATATGTCACAGTATTCAGAGTGTTATTTTCTATCGAATAAAGTAAAAAAAAAATAAACGATCAGATCTATTTTTCCAAGGCTCCTTGATTAAGGATTAGTGTTTTTAACATAGCCATGGTACTCTAGATTGAATTTTAAAATACGATTTTTTATTAAGCGAAAATGTCAAAAGTTGACATATGACGTGTCATTCTATTCAAAATGTCATTCTCTATCGAATAAAGCAAAAAAATACCGAGGGTGCCATTTAAAAATCAAAAGTTGTATTCATTTCCGGTGAAACAGGAAATGACCGAAAACAATTGAATACGTCAATCAATCCTAATCTGTCATATACTAACATACTAAATCTCGTTTTTTTATCTGAGAAAATAAAAAAGTTATAGGGGTGAGCCACTTTTGACGCGCACCCGGTATAGAATACATGCATTATGTTTTTAAACTCGAGCAATATTTTTATTTTATTCTTATCTCATTACTTGCTAACTATGCCTAAATATAATAGTAAGTACCTCATGTATTTTAATTAAAAATGAATTCAGTCAATCAAAACAAATCAATTATCATAATTTTCTTTAACGTTACAGGAGGGTCTTAGGCAGGTTTCAGTGTCCAAGAAATGTATTGGGTGTCCCATTTTCGTGTGCTTTATAGGGATTCTCGTTTATGAGTAGAGAGTAGAGATACAAAAATGCGGTTTTTGCATCACAGTGCTACTTTTTTATGAATCTAAAGATGCTACACCTATATCACATCCTAGCCCTCTTAATTCCTGAAATACAGGGCAAATTTTTGAAATTTTCTATTTTTCGACTCCCCTCGTACGTCGGTTATCCTGTAACCATAGATAACATATAATTATTATATTTTATGTTATCTGCGCCAGAACTTATAGAAAAGGTGAAAAGTGAATTCCATAGAGTTTTTCACGTAGAATTCAGTGGTGTAACTAGCACAATCGTATGTGCTGCTAAGGGGTAAAGTAGGGGTGTAAAGTATTAATTTTAAAAACCGGCATCCAGTTAGCTTGGAAATGAATATCAATAACATTCCCCATATAATTTTACATATAAAATGACAGCGATCTTCATTTCATAGCCAACGTTGACGCCGTTTTTTTTTCGATTATACGGTATTTTTAGCAAGTAATATTTATCTATTTTTAATTGCCTTTCCATATTACTCAAAATATTTTTTCTAACTCTTGAACTCCCTAAATATTAGTAATGAAAAGTATAGTTGCGCCGATTATCTAAAAATATTCAATGAGCAATTTCTCTCAGCTGTAATGTATGTCATTCCATGTAGCGTAACGATCTGTATTTTTCAAACAATACTACGATGATCCTCTACTAATTAAGCTTGTTGCTTTAATAAAGCTTATCCTGGAAATGTTACGTTTGGTCTGACTCATTCCTAAAAAATATCTTTTGGATAATAAAATATACCCATAAGAATTGGCATAAGAATTTCATTCCCTTGCAATACAAATTATATTCCTGTTATTATTACATAAATAATACTCTAGTTTATATCTATTTGATTATAGTCTGAATAATAAGTGTTGTAATAAAATATCACACAAAAAATTGAGTGCTTCATTCAAACGCTTCTTAATATATGAAGGGTCAAGGGTGAAAAATATGATAAGTCCAATGAACTTATTTTGATTCCAAAAATACGTAGTAGTTCTATCTTCTTCTTCTTAAAGTGCCTATCCTCTATGGATGTTGGTTATCACATTGGTCCATATTACTTTGTTCACTGCCGTTCTGATCAAAGCTGTTGCGTCCTGCTGATCTTCTGCCTTCTATTTTCCTCTGCATTATGAGTTGGAGTAGGCGGTATTTCTCGTTCCGCATGATGTGTCCGAAGTATTCCAGTTTTCTGCACAAAACACATACACAAGGAGACGTGCTAGCGCCTTGCTAAATATTGGAAAGTGAAATTGACGTTTAAATTTGACACTGTTGACAAGTCTACTGCTACTAGCGCCCCCAATATCGCTTGTAGGAACTACTGACTAGACTGTCACACATGGCGGGAAGTTTAAAAAAATAAAAAATTTTAATTCTTCATTTATTTTTAATTATGACAGATAAAAACACAAAAAATACACCATTTTTTAAAAATATGTTTAATATCAATATCAAATATACAACAGAAATTAATTTCACCACAATAAATTAATAAAATTAAAAGAATAATGTTACAAGTAGATCAAGACACAAAATTAATTATAACAAAACTGAAAAAAATGGCGTCATAGATGGCTTAGAAATGAAGATAATATTATATATCATAATTTTGAAAGTAAAATTATATAAGAAATGTCATCGATCATCGTTTTTAAGCTGAACGATTATTTCAAACATACAAGCTGAGTTCGTTCATAGTGCTCTGAGAAATCTAGATAAACAAAGAATAATAAATTAAAAGTATTCCAGGGGAAAAGAGAGGAAAAACCTGTATCGTCTCTGATATCTGTCAGGGTATTGTTGAAAGTGTCATCTTTTTGCTCGAAGTTTTCAGGTCGATTAAAAAGATGACATTACAACAATACTTTGCCGTAACATTCACAAATATCAGAGAGAGAGTACAGGTATTGCCTCTTTTTTCCTCTGGGATGCTTTATATCTGTTGTTCTTTGTTTATCTATATTTCTCAGAGCATAATGCCGAACACGACTACAGTATATAATAATTTCAATATCCTAAGTGGAAAGAAAAAAGATCACCTTTCTGTTTTGTACTATGGTCCCTTTCTTCCGATGGCTCATCTCGTTGATATTTAGGAAGGTATTCATAAAATATATATTTTATTATCGGTCCTGGGATGAAAAAATATAAAATTCAATTTGATTTGATGATCCGGTGACCCGATGATCCTTTTCTGTCACCTAAATCAGGAGAATGACAATGAGCATGATAATGAAAAAAATTATTTATCAACACTTACCTACACTTTAATCCAAGGAATTTTATCAAAAACCTATATTTGCCTAAATAATTTATGTATTAAATTTACAAAGCAAACTGCAGCGTGTAAACCAAAGAAATAAAATTGCAACAAGTCAACGTCAACGACCCGACAAGGAGAAAAGTGTTGTTCGAATAACAAATTATGGGTTACCAAAAATTGTTTTTGTCTCCTTTCAACGCACACTTTAGAAAGAAAAAGAGATGAACTGTAATACTGAAAGAACGTCAAGGTTTTATCTGTCACTCTTGTCAATAATTTATCGGTATGGAAGATTCCTAGAAAATCGCTTGTGGTCAAGTTTTCAACCATTGCCAGTTCTCCCATAAGAAGTGTCATCCACCTGGTTTTCTGCGTTTGACATTCACTAGAAACTCCAACTCCATAGATAAATGCAACAAGTTTAGATTGGAAAGCCCGTAAAAATTTTAGATCGCGAAATTATTTTGGGTCGCGACCGTTATACGCGATCTGGTGCTGCTATAGCGGTCGCTAAGAACAACGGCAAACAAAAACAGAAATAATTTTCTCTTGTCAAAGTCAGGATCTTCAAAAATCATAATAATCTTTCAAAATCTAAACCGCTCTCATTAAAGAAATTCCGAAAAGTGTTTATATAGCGTCCATTTTCAAAGTAATTATTGCTATCTTGTGAATTTAATTCAAGTTTTATTTACTCCAACCGGTGATAATTGTGAAAAAGTGGCATTAAAAACTTAAAAAGCTGTGCTGTGAACTGTGAACTGCAAAAACCATCGTGGATCGTGGCATAACGTCGGCTTCCAATGTTTCATAGGTATTTCATACACGCGTCCTTATATAAAATAAAGTTTCTTGTATGCAACATACTGTATTTTATTTATAAAATTAAACGAAAATAATAATAAATTTGAATAAACAATATTTGGCGATATAATTCCGGAAAAAGCCGAACCGTTCCGAAATTTTCAAAAGTTTTGGGTCGCGACCGTTGCAAGAATAGCGCCAAATAGTGTTTACATTGTCCTTATGGGTACTTTCCAATCTAAACTTGTTTCATTTATCTATGCTCCAACTCCTTGTTGATGCGGTGTAGTACAGTCTCATTTGACACGCGATGCACCCACGAAATCCTAAGCATGCGCCGATAGCACCACATCTCAAATGCATCCACAGGCTTGCATGCTGCGTCGGTAAGGGTCTACGCCTCTGCTCCATACAGAAGGGTTGAGAGCACGTAGCATCTCAGGATTCTGATTCTAGTGCGGACGTTGAGGGACAGGTTGCATAGTATATTTCACATTTTGTTAAATGTCCCTCTCGCGATTTCGATTCGATGTTTTATTTCGCGAGAGTGGTCCCAGTCTTTAGTCAGGGTGCAGCCCAGGAATGCAACTGTCTCGGCCGTTCGGAGAACGATGTTGTTAGCAGTGAACTGAAAGTTGTTGATGTTCTTGCTAAAGATCAACGTTTGAGTCTTCTTGCAGTTCATGTTCATTCCGTATCTGCTGCATGTATTCGCCACAACAGAACGGATCTGCATATCTCAAATTGTTTACTATTTCTCCGTTTATTACCAGCCCATCCTCTGTGCCATCCAGTGACTCTCTAAATAGATGTTCCGAGTACACATTGAATAGCAGAGGCGACAGTATACAGCCCTGTCGCACTCCCCTCCTTACACTAAACTCTTCTGAAGTTTCGTTCTCGATTCGAACCACGGCCTTTTGTTGACGATAAAGTTTTGTATTATCTCTGTATCTCTATCGTCTATTTCTGATTCCTTTAAAATCGAGATGAGTTTGTCATGCTGGACTCTATCAAACGCCTTTTCGAAGTCTATGAAGCACGCAAAGACATCTACATTGACGTCGCGTGCTCGTTGGATTAGGACTTGTATTGAAAACAGAGCCTCTCTGGTGCCCAGTCCCTTTGTGAAGCCGAACTCAGTTTCACCTACGTTTTCATCGAGCTTCCTATATATACCTGTTTGGATGATATTAAGGAGGATTTTTAGGACGTGGCTCATCAGACTGATTATGTCATCAGTAGTTCTATGTCCACGGAATATTGGGACACCCTGTATAAAACAAGATGACAAGAGGGTTCAGCTTGTGCTATATTAATTGTGCCTGTTGTCAATCAACGGACTTCTCTAGGACAAAAACTCATTGAATTTGAAAACCAAATAAAATATTTAAATAAATATTTTTATACAAGAAGGTTTTTGACACAACGATCAAAGACAATTAAAATTCAGAACGTTTTATCAAGGAAATTGTAATTAATATTACTCAGTACGGTACTATATCTTACTGTATTTTTTTTTAAATCCCCTAGAGCATATACAAAAGAACTTAATTACATTGCGGCTAATGATACAGATAGCAATCAAAAATGATACATGAGTCAAATGCGAACTACATAACAGATGTAATTGTATATTATTAACAAGCATTTTTATTAAATAATCTCTGCATGCAACTATTTTTATTGTTCTGTTTATATATTTTTAGATTAAAATAGTTCATCCGGCAAATATCGATTACATGCATGCAGAATGCAGAATGAGTGGGAGGAGGAGGGGGGTAATCACTGCGACCTTAAAGATCTATTGTGTCCCCCTTCCTAGAGTTATAATTCATCATAGAGTCTGTAGTATCTGGGAGGGGTAGTGGCAATTTTTAAATTAAGTAATAGATTTAAATTAAATTTTCGCTCAAAGGTATTGTGACTATGGAAAAAAATAAATTTAGATTGTTTTGGATTTCTATTTTGGGTGAATTATAGAAGTGAGTCACTTTTCAAACGCACCCGGTATGGGTTATTGCTGGAATATTTTTCTAAAAAAGGATGTACGCCACTGACTTTCTTTATTTTGTCAACAAAATTGTGTATGTACTGTGTATTAACTGGCCAAAGCGTTAAATAAGTACTCATTGATTCCTCATCAAAAAATAGAAATAATAAGAAAAAACAGCAAATTGGTCAAAGAAATTTATCCTAATCATTTACTGTGATAAATGTTTAAATACACTTTTCAAATTTCAATCCTTTATATTTTCTCAATGACTCGACCGATTTTCAAAAACAAAGCGGGAAAGTATAGAGAATGGAAAGCTCTTTTCATTGCGGTGCCACTTGACCCCCCTTCCCCTTTGAAAAAAGTTGGGGGATGACACTCCCGCTTAGAGAGTTGAAGATTTTGCAATCATTTTTGGGGCAAAAGTTATCCCCCTCACAAACAAAATTCACGTGTTTTTGGATTTTTTGAAAAAAAAGATACCTCGGCCGTTATGCCTTGCGGAACGTTTTCGATGGGTCACCCTGTATACAGTTTGCTAAAAAAAATGACGAAAATAGGGCTAAAAATAACAAAAATATAACACTTTAAATTTGACCAAAAATTTCTCCGTTGCGTTTTTTTTGCATCTCCATGAGTGTATATTTTTGACAAAGCATTTGAAGCAGAAACATCTCTGATGACAATATATCAAAGTATGAACAAATTTTATTTAACTAGTACAATAGATGCCAAATTAGTTCAGATATATTACTAATAAACAAGAGACACGAGTTAACAGCCGGCAGCGACAGGTCAGGAACAGGATTTCTTGTTTCTTTGCTTTAGTTTGCTCCAAAGCGGATTGGTACAGTCGCGCACATACCAGTCTTACTGCTGCTGCTTCAAAACGTGGTCGTTGCTAAGTTTTAACAGTTTTGCGCGTTTCGAATTGCTGCGATATTGTATTCTACCGAACAAAATTGTCGTTAAAGTGTTCCTTTTTCATTCACTAAATGGATAATACAGTGTTTCAAATAGACACTCGAAGACTTTTGGAACGTGGTACTAGTGTCAATGGATACTGCCAAAGTGTTTTTGATAAGGTGCGTCTTAGAGTTATTTTAATTCAATTTTTAAATTAAATCCATAGTTTTTTTTATAATAAGAATTCAAAACTATTTTTAAATGTTATTGTAATTAAACATTGATTTACTAATTGTTTTTGTTTTTGTTTTATTTATAAAAAAATACGAAAACATTACTATAGTAAATAAATAATTTGGTAAAGTTATATTTAGGACCACAAGTTACTCTTTAAGAAAAACTTATGGAATTTTTAAAAAATAATGATATTTATCTATATACCGGGTGCGTCTCAAAAGCGGCTCACCCCTATAACTTTTTTATTTTTTCAGATAAAAAAACGAAACTTGGTGTGGTAGTATATGACCTAAATTAGGATTGATTGACCTATTCAATTGTTTTTGGTTACTTCCTGTTTCACCGGAAATGACTACAACTTTTGATTTTTAAATGGCACCCTCAGTATTTTTCTACTTTATTCGATAGAAAATGACATTCTGAATAGAATGACCTATCATATGTCAACTTTTAACATTCTCTCTTAATAAAAAATCGTATTTTAAATTTCGATATAAAGTGTCATGGCTATGTTAAAAACACTAATGTTTAATCAAGGAGCCTTGGAAAAATAGATTTGATAGTCTGATGTTCTTAGTGTCTTGTCCTGGCCGGTTAAAAGATGTCCAAATCGTATTTTTAATCATATCTCATTTTTTTCAAATGGAACGAGGGTGGCTCATTAGCATATTTGAAAAAAGCATTTTTCACGAATAATTTGATAGCACACACGTGGTATTTCGAGCCAAATTTTCATCATGAACCGCATGTTATAATTTCAAATAAACCATATGCAAAAATGTCAAAAGTTAACATATGATATGTCATTCTATTCAGAGTGACAATTTCTATCGAATAAAGTAAAAAAATACCGAGGGTGCGATTTAAAAATCAAAAGTTGTAGTCACTTCCGGTGAAACAGGAAGTGACCAAAAACAATTGAATACGTCAATCAATTCTAATTTATGTTATATACTAACGTATCAAATCTCGTTTTTGTATCTGAAAAAATAAAAAACTTATAAGGATGAGCCACTTTTGAGACGCACCCGGTATGCTAGCGCTAAAATGGATACTTGGCTAATTTTCAAACTAGCCAGCTATTTTGCAAAAATTGCTGTTGTTTTGAGGATTAGGTGTTTGAGGATAGTCTGCGGTGGTGGTTGTGCTGTTTGTTTGCAAAATAGCTGGCTAGTTTGAAAACTAACCAAGTATCCATTTTAGCCGTAACATATATAACAAATTTTCTTATGTTTCACAAAAGATAATAAGTTCGTAAATCTGACGCACATATTAAAGCAGAGATTACTCTTTTCATAATTAAACATAATAACTGAATCATTGAACTTTTACTTTAAAAAGTAATTTAAAAACATGTTACAACAAATACATAATTGAGATAATAATATAAGTGTATAGTTTATTAATTTATTACTATTAATGGACTCACATTATTAATATCGATTTTTTCGTTGAATATTTATTATTAAACTCGTTTTACACTTTATTCATTAATGCATTAGACAATGTGTTCTAATTATTGACACTTGAAAGAAAATTCAAATTTGTTAGAAATTTTAATCCTTGATAATTGTATACATGTATATGCATCTCAGTTATTTAAGTAAATGTGTTGAAGGACGACTAACAAGAGTAAAATTAACTCAAGAATTAATTGGACTAATTTTCTAAATTATGTCAAAAATTAGTCGCATTATTCTCCCGTCCACCTGTTTCCAAACTAATATAATATATCTATTAAAACAATGTGTACAAATATGTTAAACACTCTATATATATAGTATAGTAGATGTGTTTATCCAATATCAGATTTAATGATTATAATTAAATTATACTTTAGATTAGAATTAAAATATAAAAAAATACTATATATGGAATTAAATCAACTATACGAAATAGCAAAAATGGCTCTCAAAATTCAAAGGAAATTCATTATCTCATACATTCATATGTAAAATTTCCAGAAAAAATACATTTTTAGTCGGCCAAACCATTTAAATTCATTGCCAGAAAAATCTCTTGAAATGATATAAACATTTAACCACGCTTCGCATTCACACATATTACACCTGTCTAAAAATATACTGATTATATTGGAGTTTAACAGCAAATGATCACACATGTTAAAATATTTGATATTATTAATTACATATTTCAAAATAGTATTTAACATAAGTTGTTTTACCTATCAACTCAATTAATTAGAATATTTATTTCAAAATGTTTCATTCAGATATCTTAATATATCAACAGTCTATACATATTATTGTGACTGTATGTAGGTGTTCGAATTTAAATTTGAAAAAAAATAAACCGAATATTTATTTAATTATGTATTATCATAATTTTTACTATTTGGGTTTATTTATTTTTTCTTTTAAATAATATATATTTAAATGTGATTTATAATTAATGGTATGTCTCTTAAAACTGTTCAAGCAAGAAGTGAGAGACATAAAAGTTAAAATAACCTATTAATTGTAGTGTATAGTGTGACCAACGGATCTGTAGCTACGGGGTATCGGCAGGGGAACGCAGTTGTAAACAAAACACGCCCAATTTCATTCATAAAATAGGCATGGGCGTACGGTGTTATATGAAAATAATGTGTATCATAAATATAATACTCAGATTAATATTTTTTTCAAAAAACTTTATGCTGTTTGAATCGTTACTGTTGAGTTAGCAGATAAACACTAAAAGCTTTTATTAAAGCTCCCTTAAATATTTTGAATCATCTTATTATTGTGTTGTTAATATAATAGAAGAAATAATTACAGCTGGGGGTTGGAACCTTTGGTGTTACACAGCAAAATAAAACACTAAATCAGTACAATACACCAAAACACTTTTAATTTTTACACTGGACGCACGTTTCGCTAACCATGTCTGCCATCAGCAGATGATCAAGACTGAGTCTTGAGGTATATTTATTTATATATCTGTACTAACTATATTTTTTTCTATAATACATAATTTTGGATATAACTATTTCCAGCAAAAAAAAATCTTGAAAATAGTTAACTTTGGAAGCGCAAACAAAACATAATTTTACTCACCAGTAGATCCAATATTGCCTATTACACCAGATATGGTATCGCTCCGCCAGCAGTTTTTAAAGGTTAGGTCATTGTCTACCCATATGTTTCATCCAAATAGATAATACTTGGCTATATTTTCGAATTTCGCGTATATATTTATATCTCTCTGCAATATAATGGGCCGCTCCATTAATATTTATCTGTTATTTTGACATTTACGCCAAAAAATTAATTTGATTTTAATCACCCCTAAGCGTTTCCCTGCAGAAGGAAAATTCGATTCTTCCTGCAATTTTTGCAAAAGCTTTCTAATTGCGGAGACGAGTTTGAATTCGAGATAAAATCTATTTATCAAATTCCTGACCACTTCGAAAAAGTCGTCGAGCTTTTCGACAGCAGTCTCACGTGGTCGTTTCTTTCCAGAGCTGGATATCATTTTATCGGGGTTAGTTTTCAGCCTTTTTTATCTTCTGTGTGATTTTTTTATAGCCGATACGCCAGCTCCTGTATAAAAAAATATCCGCTCAAGTTTACGTTTAAGCGGCAACTTAAGCGAACTCTCTGTAGCTTCTTCATCGCAAACCTTATTATGAACACAAGGAAATAAACCAAATGAGATTTCATCCACGTTATTATTAACTTACCTATATAAATTAGCTATTATTTCTCTTGTCTGACTATGTAGCGTCTTAACCTCGGTCTTACCCTTAACAAATTTATTCATTTTAAAATACAAATATACGATCAAGCTTGATATTAATAAATAAATACTACGAACGAAAAACATTATAACAAGATAACAAAACAATAAAACACAACTTAACTATCAAATATACGAAAAATATAGGAATAAAGTTTAGGATAACCGGTATAAAATAATGAAATAAAGTAATAATGATCAAAAAAATGACAACGCCACTGGACATTTCAATAGTATTCAATATTCCTACACTTTTCAGAAGAGACCCTGAAGTTGGGGATAAAGCAAGCGAATAGGAAAGGCGTAAAAGCCAATGCAACCGCGTGGTAACAAATCCTGTGACGTACTCTCGCCAATCATGTTCGATGAATAGGCGGCCATGCCGGTTTGCCAATGATATCGTTGAAAAATCTTCAACTTTCATAATAAGCAGATTATACAGAATGAAAGAAATAAGTTATTAAATAAAACATATCGAACAATATGAACTACGTTAAAATTTCTTAGTAATATACGTCAGAATATATGCTAAACACATTATATATATAATAAAAATATATTAAATTTATAGTTCATGTCTGGCAATTTTGCAATTTTATAGATAAACGTGGCAATGTCGATTTTTTTTTCTCGCATTCCTTCCGTAGCTTCAGATCCGCTGGTCAAACAGTATATGCTAGACTCATATGCCGAATTCGCCCATTGAGCGAAATAAATACATCCACAAAGTTGCACGAAAGAGTTTTGATGCATTGGTTTCAACTTCTATGCGGAGTGGGTTAATCTTCTGTTGTTATATTATATCAAAAAAATAAATTAAACCCATCCGCAAAGAAGTTATATAAATACTATTAATCTACGACAATGTCATTATGACACATTTAACATTGTCATTTGGATGTCATTATGGCTTTCATAATAGCACTAGTCATTGGCACTAGTGCTATTATGAATTCATAATAACACGCAAATTTTAAAATAAGAAACAAGCAAAAAAAGGTACATAAATACGTTTATTTATTGTAACATTAATTATAATATCAGTACAATTGGTTAAATTAATTCCGGACGATGAGAGATGAGTTGAATTTTTAGAAAGTAAATTTATTTCGTTTCGAGTGCTTGAACTTGTTGACCCATCATTGCCAGAAATGTTACCCAAAATATTACATGACACTTTTTTCTTATTTTCTTTGGAATG